AGCGCTCACTACATATCGTCTCAATACGGGATATAGTTTTAAACACTCGGATTATGTAACGCGTCACTGCTGTGTGGTTTCTTGTTTTTCACAAGACACAGACGGATGATACGATTACCAGTTTGAAGAATCCGTACACACCGCTTGCCACCTATATGAATCGGCTGCTTGTCCAATTAACCAGTCCGTTCACACATATTTATATTTGGGTTTTAAGTAACGAAACCCAAACGGTAGTTCCTTTGTTTTATTATAAAAGGTTGTAGATATAATTCCTGAGTGTATATCAACCGTAAGTCTCACTGTCTAGGAGTGAATGAGAAAGGGACGGCGTTTATGTATGATAAACGTTAGGTCACGTCCTTACGATATGAGTTGAGGTGAGCTACTGAAGCTTAGGGGCATCGCAGTGCGTGCTTACAGAAATGCTGAGCTATGGGTCTCGCCCTCTTGGGTGAGTTACCCGCTCACGTGTCCATCTCATGTCTTACTCATAGACAGTGGAAAGTTACAGGGGGTGAATCTGAATATAATATCAGATGTATTGACCCATTTATATAATACATTCTGTTGATGAGACAGGGGCCTATTACAATTCGTTAACAAAGGCCTTCTTTAACCGAGGGACCACTGTACTTCTGCTCCCCAAATTTGGGTAATTGGTATATTCAGGATCAGGTCCAGGGTCCACTGACCTCATCCTGAACACTGTCAGTCATCCAAATTATCCCTCAACTCAGGAGACAGGTAATGTGACTTTGTTCTTTGTCTTTTTTCCCTGTCAGTTGGCTGAAGTGTACCAGCTCTTGGATGTTGTCTTATATTTCTCCAGTGTTAGTTTTGACTTCATTTACCAGTGTGAACATTCCACTTTTGGAATAGCATCTACATATTATCAACTCACTTCGCAGTGTAAGTGTTACATTTATTTATTACTGTCGGTGTCGTACGTTGACGCCGTTAATTTAACACCGTTAGTGGACGGCGACAACTTTTTGTTAACGCCGACGCCATAAATTTTTTGGGCAGGTGATGCTACAGGTGACACAGTCAACTTTTCACCCGAGCGGAGCGTCAAGCTTCTAAAATTTTAGATTTTTCCAAGTTCGATTTTCAATCATCTTGTTATAAAAACGACGGGAAATAATTTTGCCGCGCCCGCCGCCCGCGCACCTGCGCAGCTTTCTACAGATTTGAATTTTCAAGTCAGGAAAATACACCAACCAGATGTCCAGGTTGGTGGAGAAGTCCGTGCATGAGACTGACAGCAGCAGTGAGGGAGACAACAAAGACCATGATGTGGAGGACGAATTGTTCCAGGCCCTGTACGAGACCCCCCCCCCTGCAGGAATGAAAAAAACCAGTGACCTTTCCAAGCGTTTCCTGGGGGAGAAACCTTGGAAACCTTCGACAAGGACACCTTCCCCAACAAGGCCATGAGGGAGTTGTTCATCAAATACAACACCCCCATCCCCTCTAGTGGAGCGCATGTTCTCTGTGGGCAAGGACGTCTTGAGGCCCAAGAGCAGCAGAATGAGCGACAAGCATTTTGAGATGCTAGTATTCTTGTGAGGGGACAATTGAATAATTAAAATGATATAATATAAATCATAATAAATTATTAAAAATTAATGAATATTTTTTTATTTTGCATGTTACTCCCATACACAGGAGAATATGCGTTTCGGGGCTGCATATGTACGTCACCGAAAACTCGTTGACGCTAGGTGTTGACGCTGACGGCGTCAATTTATGAAATCGTTTACGCCGACGGCATCAAATTTCTCGGCCGTTTATGCTGACGGCGCCATTTTTTCGTTGACGCGTACAACACTGCTGACTGTATTATTACTTTGTTATTACTGTCCAGGCAGTCCCTGGTTATGTACGAGCTCTGTTCCTACAGACTTTCTTAAGTTGAAACACATACCCTATGTACACACTGTACTTACAGAATATTGTTTAAAATCCCATTATATCACAGCCTAAGTCCTTATGTAATCACTTAATTTAAGAACAAAGAAGAAACAGAACAATGAAATACAGTAAATGAAAGTAAAAAATAAGTCATCAGGTAAAGGCAGTACAGTAGGCAGCTATCAAACAGGGAAGTACTACTGCCTGGGAAGATATTGGAAGCATAATGTGTTGTAGGCAGCTATCAAACAGGGAAGTACTACTGCCTGGGAAGATATTGGAAGCATAATGTGTTGTAGGCAGCTATCAAACAGGGAAGTACTACTGCCTGGGAAGATATTGGAAGCATAATGTGTTGTAGGCAGCTATCAAACAGGGAAGTACTACTGTCTGGGAAGATATTGGAAACATAATGTGTTGTAGGCAGCTATCAAACAGGGAAGTACTACTGCCTGGGAAGATATTGGAAGCATAATGTGTTGTAGGCAGCTATCAAACAGGGAAGTACTACTGCCTGGGAAGATATTGGAAGCATAATGTGTTGTAGGCAGCTATCAAACAGGGAAGTACGGGAAGATATTGGAAGCATAATGTGTTGTAGGCAGCTATCAAACAGGGAAGTACTACTGCCTGGGAAGATATTGGAAGCATAATGTGTTGTAGGCAGCTATCAAACAGGGAAGTACTACTGTCTGGGAAGATATTGGAAGCATAATGTGTTGTAGGCAGCTATCAAACAGGGAAGTACTACTGCCTGGGAAGATATTGGAAGCATAATGTGTTCTAGGCAGCTATCAAACAGGGAAGTACTGCTGCCTGGGAAGATATTGGAAGCATAATGTGTTGTAGGCAGCTATCAAACAGGGAAGTACTACTGCCTGGGAAGATATTGGAAGCACAATGTGTTGTAGGCAGCTATCGAACAGGGAAGTACTACTGCCTGGGAAGATATTGGAAGCATAATTTGTTGTCTGGTGAGCCTGGGTGAGCTAAAATTTTGGACCTCGGTCATCTTTGGTCATCCTCTCTTAGGGATTATGGGGAAACTTTCGTCGTGGCCCTCGACATCTCCAAAGCATTTGACAGGGTATGGCACAAGTCTTTGGTTTCTAAACTTCCCTCTTTTGGTTTCTCTCCCCCACTTTGTTCTCTCATCTCTAGCTTCCTTGAGAGCCGATCCATGGCAGTTGTTGTCGAGGGATCGATCTCTCGCTCTTTCTCTACCAATAGTTGTGTCCCACAGGGTTCTGTTCTTTCACCTACTCTCTTCATTCTTTTTATCAATGATTTACTTCACACTACAACTAATTCTATCCATTCTTACGCTGATGATTCTACTCTACACTCTTCTTCACAGTTTCCCCTTCCTCCTAACTCTCAAACTAGATCTATTTCTAGAGCTGATATCATTACTTCTATCAATGTGGATCTGTGCAGCATCTCTGAATGGGGAGGTACAAACTTGGTTAAGTTAAATAGTAATAAAACTCAATATTTACCAATTACACTTAGTAAATTAGATGATATCCCACCAATTATATTTCAAAATGCAATCATTCTGCCAAATTCTGAAATAGATATGTTAGGCCTCACTATTTCCAATAATATGTCATGGAAGCCACACATCCTCAACATTGCTAAAGCTGCCTCCCGAAAGTTGGGAATGCTGTACAGATGCCGTAGCTACTTCAATCCTGAGCAGTTGCTTCAAGTATATAAGGGATTCATTCGTCCTAACTTGGGGTACTGCTCTCATATCTGGGGTGGCTCTTCTTGTGTCCAACTATTAGATAGGGTGGAATGAAGGGCATTTCGTCTTATTTACTCTCCTCCTTTAGTTGACAATCTCTCTTCCCTTTCTCTTTGCCACAATGTTGCTTCACTCTCTCTCTCTTTTACAGGCACTTTAATGGGCAATGTTCGGTGGATTTGGCATCCTGTGTACCGCCGGCAAGGCCGTGGGCTCGTAACACACGTCTTGCCCGCGGTGCCCACCGTTTCTCTGTGGATGTCGGTCACACTAGAATGACCCGTTATAGTACCTCCTTCCTTCCTCACACAGCCAAACTGTGGAATGCTCTGCCTTCTTCTGTGTTTCCATACTTATGCAATCTCTCTCTCTTTAAAAAGCTGATTTTCAGGCATCTTGGTGGTGTAGATTAACACAATATAACCTTTTTCTTCTCTATTTTCAATTTCTTTCTGTTTTTTTTTTCCGCCCCCCAGGTCCCATTGTGGGTCGTTTGACCTGTGCCCGGGTGGGCTAATTCCCGTAAAAAAAAAAAAAATCAGCAGGTGGTGGTAAGTAAGTCAGGGACCCCCTGTATTTACATTTAGAAAATATTTTTTTGTACAGTAATTATAAATATAATATTTTTTGTGGCAGCCAAGGAATGTTTGTTGGTTGGAATAATGATGAACAATCTTCAGAACGATGTGAATAAAATGCAAAACTGAACAAAAATTGAATGAATAATTGAACACCCAAATTCGAAAATTGTCTAATAGTGTCAAAATATTTCGAACTCAGTTAAATTGAAATTTTCTGTAATTCAAGTGAGCGAAAGCCCCTTTTCTTGTCATATTAATGAGGGTATAGTGAACTTACACAACCGTACTAAACCATCAATTTAAGTTTTTTCCTGTAAATATTTTATAAATACTACATATACTTTGTGTATATTTGCATACTGTCAAGTAGCCATACCAACATATCATGATACACTGAAGATTATCTCAAAGTATTTTTCCCAAGTGTTTCAACTTGAAAAGACCAAAAAGTGACAATACTTGTTGAGGAAGTGTACAGTATTAATGTCTGGTGTTTAGTCTTCATTGATAATAATTAAGTTCTCCTCTGGTCCACCCCTTAAGGGTGATGGTTTAACCCCTTAAGGGTGATGGTTTAACCCGTCCTGTACTCAAAGGGTTAAGGCACCATGTCAACAAGTGTAATAGATCTGTGGAGTAAGAAGCTCCAACTATACTGTATGAGACAAGTGTGGTACAGTATAACCCATTGTCAGAACAGTGTACCAAATAGCCCTTGACTCAGTGTATAATTATTGAGTGGTCACCCACAGAGCAGCGCCAAATTACGTGATGCAGGACAACTGTTGTTTGTGCCACACTGCAGCACTCAGGGCCATCACAGGCCTCACGGAGGAAAACATCACCTACATCACCTTCCACAACAAGATATATGAGGTACTGTAATGTGTTATAGGAGAGATGTCTTAACCTAACACTCTGCATGGTGGTGTAAACACTTCTCATATAAATGTTCTTGTATTGATTAGTACAGCTTTGTGTTCTTAACTTTTCCCTTCAGTATTTATTATATTTTGATTCTTTCATAGGCTCTTTTGGGAACCACACACTGCTTTCTGCATGTCCCATAATTCTCTCCCACCTGGGGTACTGTCACCCCTCCTTCATTATCAACTCCCATCCTATCTGATCATCATCTTTCTGTGAATCTACACACCGATACTGTCACACACACACACACACACACACACACACACACACACACACACACTAACAACACCAACCTACACCTCCCAACTACTACGACTACTACTTTGCTGTCACTCAGAATCGAGTACTGTATGACAATCATCCAGCTATAATACAATGATATGAGTTATTAGAGATGTCACCTACGTTGGTGAGTTTTGAGGTGACTAAAGAGGCCTACATGGGACCGGCAATGTCGTTACTTTTGTTGCACAAGTGGAGGGCTGCATCTAGTGAGGGAGTGGCGTTGGCAGCATCTTTCCGGCGTTGGCGCTTGTCTGCCTCAGCTTGCAGTCGGGCTAACTCATGTGGTGCTCCTCCAAGCGTTACGGTGTGGAGTAATCGATTACCAGGTGAGGGTTTCGATTTGGCACTTTTTCAGGTTTGTCTTAAGACTATCCTTATACCCGGTGTTACGTTTACTATTCATTAAGTGATTGTAAAGTAGGTGCTTTGGCAGTCTACTGTCATCCATGCGGGTAACATGGCCAGTCCAGCGTAGTTGTTCATGGATAATGGTAGCCTCGATGCTTCTACAGTTGGTGTCAGCGAGGACACTGGCATTTGTTTTCTTGCCTTCCCAGCGAACTCCGAGGTTGGAACATAGACTACGTTGGTGAAAGTTTTCAAATGCCTTGAGGTGCTTCCTGTATGTGACCCATGTCTCACTGCCATATAGCAGGGTGGGGAGGACCACTGCTCGATATACGTGCAGCTTTGTAGATAATTTCAGCTCCTTACAGCTGAAGACACGGTTTCGGAGTCTGCCAAAGGCTTGAGATGCATATCTGATCCGATGCTAAATCTCTTCATTAATGTCCGCGGTGGTGGACAGGTTTGAGCTGAGATACTGAACCAGGGGCAGGCTGAAAGAGAATCTGAGTCTTGCGTACATTCACCTCAAGGCCGAAGTGTGCTACACATCTGCGTAAGTGTTCAGGATCTACTGTAGACGTTGAGTGTGAGCGACAAGGGTGAGGTCGTCTGCATACTGAAGTTCAGTAATGGAAGCTGCCGACACCTTTGTTCTTGCCTGGAGTCATCTTATGTTGAAAAGACCCTTCATCTGGTACTGGATGTCCACCCCGCCGGCTAAATTGGCACTAGCACGAGTCAGGAAGGCAGCCAAGAAAATGGAAAGGAGAGTTGGTGCCAGTACACACCCTTGTTTAACCCCTGTTTGGATGGGAAGATCTCGGACTGGGTGCCATTGTACAGGACACTGAGGTTCATGCCATCGTGAAGTTGCCTCACGATTGCAATGAGTTTTGGTGGGCAGCTAAATCGGCTGAGGGTCCACCAGAGGGCTTCCCTGTTGACCGAGTCGAAGGCCTTGGTAAGGTCGATGAAAGCTTTGTCCAGGTCACGACGCTATTCTCTGCACTTTTCTTGTATCTGGCGGGCAGCAAGTATCTTGTCAGTGATGCCAATTGATGGTCTAAAGCAGGGGTATCAAACTCATGGCCCGCGGGCCAAATGTGGCCCTTGGGATGGTCAGGTGTGGCCCGCAGAATGACGGTAAAATTTATCAGCCCTTGAAATTATGATAGAATTAGGTATGAAATACCAAACCCGTATTACTGGTAAGCACTTGGATGTCATCACCGACTTGGAATATCACCTTTGCAGCCAAATATAGAAAAACTTGTGGAAGAAAAACGTTTGCAGTGGAGTGTAAAATGAGGTCAAGGTTGTGAGTTGCTTGATAGTTCTTGTTCTGCATGTACTGTACTGTACATACCGTAGCTGTCATAACAAGGTTGAGCTCTTAAGTTTGAAAACACAAATGGAATTCTATAATAAATTGTAGCCCCAAAATAATGGGTATACAGTACTATACAGTCAGTTCTGCTACAACGTGATAGTTGTGTTCTTGTAAAACCTCGCGTTGTAGAAATTCACGCAATAGAAATAACAGGACTTGTGGAGAAAATTGGGTTAGGTGCAGATTACTCGAAATCGAAAAAAATTTAGTAGTTAGCCTAACACAAAGGATAGCAGTCTAAATAAATGTTACACTCATATCTAATAATGAAATCATACAGTAAATATAAAACTTTACCTTGGAAAAATATGAATACGTATAACTTGATTGGGGAGAAGGGTGATTTTGAGGTTGAGGAGTCATGCCTTTCTTTTACGATCATCACCGGGAATGCGATCACCAGAACGCTTCTTGGAGATATTCTTCTTTTCCATAGTCACAGTTAATATCACAAAATTGGAGAAATAGTAAGCAAAAATCACTGAGGACACTTCAAAACAACCCACGTGTTTCAACTGATCGTGTGATGGAAACAGAGAGCGCGGGTGTAAAAGGCTATTAGTCCGCACTGCGAAACATTATTTTTATTTATTTTTTTCATACAGTATTTATGGGAGCAGCTAAATTTGCAAAAAAAGGATGAAATTTATCGAATCCCTATCAAATAACACTTCACAAACAAAACACATGAATCAATTGAGCATGTGATGTCGAACGTGAACTGTAAACACTGCATAACCCCGCGTCAAGCGACGGTACACTTAAAACGTTCGAGCGGAATCGCATTACAGCCAACACGCATTCGCGTTTTACAAATATCGTTCTTCTATTCATCAATCGTGTTACAGCCAATTCGCGTTGACAAAACACGCGTTGTAGCAGAAATGACTGTATGCCTTTTGCTATCCTATTATTAGCGTTAATCATGTTTATTAAGTAAAATGAATTTCACATACTAAAGACCGGGCAAACCCAAATGAGGTATTCCTGGTAAGCCATGTAAGCTGTAAGGCAATGTGTGAAGCTGTAAATTTCCATCCTGCAAATATGGAATACAGCTACTCCTCGACTTACGACATACTCGACCTACGACCACCCGGACATACGACCGCCCCAGTCGTACAAAAAAAAATTAAATTACGTATTTTCGAGTCCCAACGTTAGTGATTGCGCTGTGTACTGACAAAATTTTCGTTTGTAATTCACTTTAAAATGGCTGGCAAGCTTAAAAGTGAGAGTTCTCGATGTTGAGAAGAAAAAGAGACACCCAGAAATTTATGTAAATCTACCCAAAGATACAGTTGAAAAAATTTTGCATTATTAAAATGTACAATGTACTAAAATTTTTATCTCGTGCAAAATATATGACGTTTATATTCAAATTAATCACTATCTTATAAGAATTCCAGCAATGTAAATTATATTCTCCCCGGTCACTTCTATGACATTTTATAAGCAAAAAACAAAAACTCAATCTAAAGGACACAAATAAACAAATAAATACTTCACTAGACCTTCAGCGCTAACTGTCAAACATGTCACTGTCACCCCTCCCTCCCTCCCTCTCTCCCCTCCAGGGTTTGGTGTTGTAGGCCTAAAGTTTTTATTTTATTTAATATCTCAGACTAAAGTTAGGAGAATATAATTTGCATTGTTGGAATCCTTGCAATACAGTGAATACCTGCAATTTGAATATACAGTGACCCCTCGGTTAACGAACTCAATCCGTTCCAGCAGGTTGTTCGTTAACCGAAAAGTTCGTTAACCGAAACCATTGTTTCAATGGGTTTTTGGGTAATTGGTTCCAGCTCACCGAAAATTTCCTAAATTCAACAAAAATGGTAGAAAAGTTCACTTACTTTGAGGTGTGTATGTAGAAGGCTCCTGGATGATGATGATGATGATGATGGGAATTAGAATGGGGGTGGAGGAGAAGGAAGAAGAGAAGGCATTGGGGTGGAAGAGAAGTCACCCCATGGCACCATTTCCCCATAAAATTTTAGTTCTCTTGGTGTATTTCAAGATTATTTTCTTTAAATCAACACTGCACTGCATTATACATTGTCAATATGTAAAATATATTTCAAAATGACCAATAATTTGCTTGGAAACACAGAAAAAAAGCGTTTAGTTGAAGAGAGTCTCAAGCAAGATGTTACCTCCAGTGAAAACAGAGAGAGACTAACGCCTGTTTGCTGTGTTAAGAGGCTGGATGCCGCGCATTAAACTAGTCACTCTACCTTCAATTATGTTCAATAATTGTTAAAATGACTACAAAATTGAATATTAAACTTTTAAAATTATTGAATAGTATAAACTTCTTGATATTTATTAAAATGGTAAGGAATTTAAGCCCTAGAACCGATTAATGTATTGGCGGACTGATACTAAAGCTGGTTGCCCGGCCAGTGCTAGCTAAAACATGTTGAGGTCGGTTCGTAAGAAATTCTTTAACCGAATTTTTGTTCGTTAACCGAACTGAAGATCCTTATGGAAGGCAGTTCGTTAACCGAAATTTCGTTAACCGAGGCGTTCGTTAAACGAGGGGTCACTGTAAACATAATATATTTTGCACAAGAGATAAAAATTTTAGTACATTAGTGTACTGTACTACATTTTATAATGTAGAGTTTTTCATCTGTATTTTTGGGTAGATTTGCATAAATTTCTTCATTTATTTTTATTAATTTACATTCACACACCATACTAAAAGAAACGTAAAATAAATAAATGACCTAAGTGCAAACCTGTACTGTACATGTACTAAACGATTAGGGTACTAAAAATTTTGTCTAGTGAATAATTTGAATATAAACTTCATATATTTTGCACAAGAGATAAAAATTAATCACCTGTAGAGATTTAAGAGTTCTAGTGTATATGTACGTATATATATATACAGTCTTGATAAAATCACTCGGGAAAAGGGAAACAACGGAGCACCTTAGCTTTCGTCTTTATTCAAGACATCTTCAGAGGCAACAGTTGCCTCTGAAGATGTCTTGAATAAAGACGAAAGCTAAGGTGCTCCGTTGTTTCCCTTTTCCCGTGTGATTTTATCAAGATTTATCTTATCCTCGTTTTCATTGTGGATCTACATGAAATATATACAGTATACAATATAGTGATTTATGGCCAGTTTCAGGGATTTTTAGGAGTGTTTCTGACTTTATGCATTTTTTGGCTTCATTTTGCATGTACTTTTTCTGTATGTTGGAACCAATTGTGTTTGTTAATCAAGGGACCACTGTATTATTTTCGCATTTTCGACTTACGACCAATTCGACTTATGACCCGGATTTGGGTCCCTAACCCCTTCATAAGTCAAGGAGCAGCTGTATAGCATTTGTGTTGGCCCTGAAGAGGGTAACTAAAATAAGAATTGGCCTTTGAAAGGTTTTGAGTTTGACACCACTGGTCTAAAGCCACATTGAGATGCTGGGAGGAAGTTTTCCACCTCAGGAAGAAGTCTGTTTAGGAGGACTCGGGCAATAATCTTGCCAGCTACAGAGGGCAGCGAGATCCGCGGTAGTTGCCACAGTCTGACCGGTCTCCCTTGTTCTTATAAATATTGATGATGGAGGCGTCTTTAAGAGCTTGGGGGATTTCCTCCTTTTCCCATATATTCTCCTGGAGAGAGTGGAGACGGCTGGTAAGCAGAGGTCCTCCTGCTTTATACACCTCGGCTGGGATCCCATCAGGCCCTGAGGCTTTGTTATTTTTCATCTGTTTGATGGCACTAGCTACCTCATCCAGGGATGGAGGATAGCTGAGATGGGTCAGCTCTGGATGATGAGGGACCTGCTGGGTTTTCAGGACATCCACATCGGTGTTTTGGTTGAGCAGTGAATGGTAGTGCTCTTTCCAGTGCTGAAGGAGGCCTTCATCATCTTTAATTATGAAGTTACTGTCGGATGAGCGGAGGGGGGCTGCACTACGAGTGATTGGCCCATAAAATGTTTTAATGGAATTAAAAAAATTCACGCATCTTGTGCTGATCTGCAAATTTTTATGCTTCACATGCTTTATTTTTAAACCAATCTTTCTTTAGATTTTGAAGTTCTCGCTGAGCCACCGCTTTCTTCTTGTGGAAGGTATCAGCTTTGGTCTGAGACTGAGGGTTGTTCTGTCAGTCAGTAAAAGCAGCATGTTTATCATCGATGAGTACATTAATTATCGGGTCATTTTCATCAAACCAGTCCTGGTGTATTCTTTTGATCTGGCAGAGAGTCTCACTGCAGGCTTGTCATGACAGTGTTGAGAATATCCCATTCAGCACTGGGATTAGGTTGTTTTTGCCTGGTTGTTTATCAGCCCATGTTCGAGCTGCTCTCTGAAAGCATGTGCTACCGCTGGATCCTCCAGATGCTTAGTGTTAAAACCTGTTCTGGAGGCTTGCTGCCTTCACCGTTTTGGGGCGATGTGAAGTGAGAGCTTTTCTCTGACAAGTCGATGATCAATGTCACAGTGGTCTGAGCCACGCATGGCACGGGTGATGAGGACATCTCAGTGATCTCTTTCTCTGACAATGATGTAGTCAATGAGATGCCAGTGTTTGGATCTTGGGTGTTGCCACGAACCCTTGAACTTGTCGGCCTGCCTAAACAAGGTATTGATGATAGTGCGGTTGTGTGCAGCACACTTGCTGAGGAGGAGTAGGCCGTTAGGATGACACTTGCCTTGTCCATTTCTCCCTATGGTTCCCTGCCAAATGTCAGTATCTCTGCCAAATCTGGCATTGAAGTCGCCAAGGAGCACAACCTTGTCTTCTCTGGGGATAGAGGTTAGCACTCTGTCAAGGTCGGCATAAAAAGCCTCCTTGATGTCATCCTCTGTATCCAGTGTTGGGGCGTATGCACTAATGAAGAAGGCATGACATGAGTGATTCAGTGGGACTCGAAGCGTCATGAGGCGCTCGTTAACCCCAACAGGCATTTCAGTTAGCCTGTGTAGGATGGATTGGTGGAGGGCAAAACCATCTCCATAAATGCGGTTTCTCTCCACAATAGGCTTACCCTTCCAGAAGAAGGTGTAGCCAGAGCCCCTTTCTGTGAGTTGGCCCTCGTCTGGGAGTCGCGACTCACTAATGGCTGCTATGTCAATGTTATACCTAGCCAACTCTTTTGCCACAAGGGCAGTTCTTCTTTCAGGACGATCATTTGTACCAGTATCCAGAAGGGTCCTGACATTCCATGCAGCAACCATAAGAGGTTGTATAATTTGTTTTTGTTTGGATCTGTGATTATGATCGTGTTTTTGACCACATAAGGATGAGCTTACTGGGTGTGGTTGCCCTGTCAGGTTGGGTTTATAGGCAGGCTATTTTTAGGGCATCTTTTCTAGCCCCCTCCCCATGTGGGGTGAGCAGATTGGCTCCTTAAAAGGGCTGCTCAGTCACACAGACTGGATTGGATTGCACAACTGCCTAGATCTCAGTGCATAAACGACCATCTTATCTGTGCCGCCCATGTGCAGAGTTGTGACTAGAGACTCCCGGCAGTCATCTCTGCCTGTACCCCATCGCCACTCGTCCATCGCCATAGGACTTTTGTGGGTTTAGGGGTTTTGATGATGTTGAGAGGTATGATGGGCTGGATGATGGCTGCGCTTGAGTTGATTTATGTGGTGAGGCAGGAGCGCAGGCTGCAACCACACATTTTTGGCTCTCCCTTTTCCTGATCCAGTGGTGCAAGTGTTGCAATGACTGGGGAGAGGGAGAGTTGCAATGGACTGCCGATAGCCCAGTTTGTTGGGTTTCACCTTAGTAGCCTGTCCATCATGCATTGCCTTCGTCCACCGGTGTAGTCGTTGGGTTCCCATGGTGGTCACCTCTTCCGCCTACACCGCTGTTGGGGTCTTGTTGGAGCTTTGTAAGCATGTCTGCCTGATGCTGGGCTCCACCACAGATTTTTCGTTCGTGGTTTACTCCCGTAGCCTTATACCTACCAAGGTTAATCTGCAAGGCAGCAGGGCGGTGGTTGGTAGGAGCCTAAACGTGTCCACATGCTAGTGGGCCTATGTGCTGTCCCTCTGGGGCCCACTGCTACTCCAGGATTCCCTGCTGGTCTAGCCTGGGCCCACGAGGCACCCAGTTACCGTGTGTTGCCACGAGGAGGCACAGCAGGAGTCTTGAAGGTGAGGAGGCTGTGTACTGGCAGGGGAAGACTTTTGCTTCCCCATTCGCCACGAGGGCTAATCAGCGGCGGCAGCTGAGAGCGAGAGAGCAAGCAGTACTTGCACCCCAACACTGACATAATGCTGCCACACTAGACGTATTTTACCACCCTGTGTGACACCTCCCAACACACACACAACGTCTTACACCTCCCAACACACACACACAACGTCTTACACCTCCCAACACACACACAACGTCTTACACCTCCCAACACACACACACAATGTCTTACACCTCCCAACACACACACACAACGTCTTATGCCTCCCAACACAAATAATCCTCAAACATAGATTACACAAATGATCTCATGAGTTGGGGCCCCCTATACCCATAAGAGTCAGGCTTTGTAGAACTGTATAATAATAATAATAATAATAATAATAATTGACGGTTTATTGAAAAAATTCTGCAGCCCGAAGGCTAAAAATATACATTGGACATAAATGACTTATTACATACATTGGTGGTTTAACAAAAGCCTTCATTAGAGAAAGGTAAAGGAACTTACAGTGAACATACAGATTAATGTAGGTGTTGAACAGCAAACTCGTAGTGTAGTAACTCCCTCCCAGATGGTGTTAGGAGGAACTCATGTGGTGTAGTAGTTCCCTCAGATGGTGTTATGAGGGACCTGGCGTGGTGTAGTAATTCCCTCGCAGATGGTGTTATGAGGGGCCTCACGTGGTGTAGTAATTCCCTCACTGATGGTGTTATGAGGGACCTCATGTGGTGTAGTAATTACCTCACAGATGGTGTTATGAGGGTCCTCACGTGGTGTAGTAACTCCCTCACAGATGGTGTTATGAGGGGCCTCACGTGGTGTAGTAACTCAGTAACTCCCTCACAGATGGTGTTATGAGGGGCATCACGTGGTGTAGTAATTCCCTCACAGATGGTGTTATGAGGGGCCTGACGTGGTGTAGTAATTCCCTCACAGATGGTGTTATGAGGGACCTCACGTGGTGTAGTAATTCCCTCACTGATGGTGTGATGAGGGACTTGACGTGGTGCAGTAATTCCCTCACACATGGTGTTATGAGGGACATGTGATATAGTAATTCCCTCACAGATGGTGTTATATGAGTGAGGTGTGGTCCCAGTCCTTCCTATCGTAGACGGATTAACACATCGCTGGTTGTTGTTGGGTCTCACGGGCCGTTATCACTGGGTACCTGGGACCTCACTGTGTGAAGGTTAACTTGGGTACGACTGTTACTGTTGAGTTGTTCTAACTGACTTAAGTACTGTTCACCACTGTTCACCTCTGTTTAACACTGGTTCCGTTCCTTTCCTAAATGAAATTGTAACTTCTGGCGAGAACTTGTTGATATTCCGGTGGGGAGGAGGGTTCAGGGGAGTGGGTTGGTATGGGCCAACTTAACAGTTGACCTGGCTGCTCCGAGAGGAGCGCCAGGTACGTCTTGACCCTTCGGTGGTCAAGGATGTAGTGCAGGGTATTGGCATGATCTACTGTACCTTATTACTCTACTATTTATTCCAGGTGCCATTTTTTGTTGCCATTGATGATGAAACACAGAACGTGGTGGTGGCCATAAGAGGAACCCTCTCCCTGCACGATGCAATCACCGACCTCAACGCTCAGTGTACTAATGTTAGTATTGGTCCCTTATTGTGTTGTCTGTTTAAACATGTTGTTGATCATTGTTACCAGATGTGAGATGTTACGAGAGGTGTGAGCGAGATGTTACCAGATGTGTGAGTGAGATATTACGAGAGGTGTGAGTGAGACATTGCAATAATAACAAGATGACTTTTCAAGTGTTTTTCTTAGGTGTGTATTGAAGGGCTGCCTGAGAGTTGCCTGGCCCACAAGGGTATGGTACAGGCAGCGAGGTTTGTGCTCAGAAGACTAGATGAAACGAGAGCATTGGCTGAAGCATTCGCTGCCCGCAGTGGCTATGGTCTGGTCATTACTGGTTAGTGCTCAACAGTTTTCAGTTTTATTAATACAGTAATACCCTGATTTACGCGGTCAGTTGAACCCGTGGACGCTCGTGTAAAACGGGAAACGCGTAAATGGAATAACAGAACATATGGGATTAATTGAAATAGAGACTGGGCCGACTCCCAAACTCCACTCTTTCCGACACAATACCTACGTTGTAGTGAAAATAACATCTTAACTTTCTGATGGTATGCACACACACATAATATAGAAGAGAAATATCAATAAGAGAATGTAATATACTGTACCAGGTAAAAGAAAAATCAAGGTTTAACACTTACGTCAGGTTAGGTTAGCTTAGAAAAAAATCAAGGTTTAACACTTACGTAAGGTTAGGTTAGGTTAGGAAAAATCAAGATTTAACACTTACGTCAGGTTGGGTTAGCTTAGAAAAAATCAAGGTTTAACACTTTCGTAAGGTTAGGTTAGGTTAGGAAAAATCAAGATTTAACACTTACGTCAGGTTGGGTTAGCTTAGAAAAAATCAAGGTTTAACACTTTCGTAAGGTTAGGTTAGGTTAGGAAAAATCAAGATTTAACACTTACGTCAGGTTGGGTTAGCTTAGAAAAAATCAAGGTTTAACACTTACGTAAGGTTAGGTTAGGTTAGGAAAAATCAAGGTTTAAATCCAAAAATGGCGGCGCGGCAGGACCGCCAGCCGCTCTCTGCGTATATGAGTAGATGCACCGCATAAATTGGGTATTCTGGTTCTGGCAGGGTACTGCGTAAATGACAAAATGCGTAAACGAAACCTGCGTAAACTGAGGTGTTACTGTATAGGTCATTGGTTAAAGCCTCAATATAACGGGTTTATTACCCACCTCGATATAACGGACTGGCCTCTCCAATATAGTGTATTACATGAAGGTGTCTTGTCACCATTCCTATAATGTAAGAAGAAAGAAAGAAAGAAAGAGTTATTCCTGGCTTATAAATGTGTGTGTGTGAAATAATAATAATTAACGGTTTATTAAGATAACATGGCAGCCCGATGGCTGAAAATATACAATGAACAGAGATGATAAGTTACATACGGTGAGATCGGGGAGTGGGTCACTTGGTTGACAAAAGCTTTCAATACAGAAACATAGAGTCAACATATAGATTAACTTTAGAGCTGGTCCTGTGGGAGCTGGTCTGTAGACTTTCTTGTGACCCGATGTTGGCACCAACAAAGTCCTTCCCACTGTCTTGATGGCCGTTGTACCTGACTGCTAAGCCTCTACATCACTACAGCTGCAGATGTACCTCGTGGTCCGGGTAGGTCCTCCAGCGCACACAGGGTGTTGGAGATGGTTCTTGTTCCTCATGTGATGTAGTTATGAATTCATAGTTCCTCACCTGGGTGGAGTAGGGAGTCCTCATTTGTCTCCTGGTGTTGTTTGGGGTGTTTCTTGGCTTCTCATCCAGTGTTGGGGGTGGTGAGTGTACCGCGGGCTGGGTGCGTCAGATCAACATTGGCCGCTAAGTACTGGTTGTCGCTCTAACAGTTGTTTCTTCCTTTCGAGATGAAATTGTCACTTTTGTATATCACTTGTATGTTTCAGTGGGGGGACTCAAGAAACTGGCCCTGTGAGATATAACAAATTTTGTGCGTTACATTCAAAACGCACTCCTCCGCTTGTCACTCTGGAATGTATGTTGCAGTTAATGAGATAAATGCTCAGTAATGTGACGAGCTATGAAGTAACTGCGTGATGATCTGTATCTGTTAACTCATCATGTCATCCTGGTTGTGTACACAGCAAGGTGAGTGGTGCTGTGATCTGAGTATAAGAAGATGGAGTATGCCGGTCACAAGAGCCAGTCAAATATAAGAAAACTCCCAAAATGCAAAACTAGTAAGGTCTAAGCTGCATATTAGGTGGTTCGGTACATGTCAGGAGGAGACTTATTATTTCTCAGTATACTGTACCAAGTTATTAATGATTAATGTACAGTGGTCCCTCGGTTAACGAGCACAATTCGTTCCAGCAGGTTGCTCGTTAACCGAAACCATTGTTTCAATGGGTTTTTGGGTAATTGGTTCCAGCTCACCGAAAATTTCCTAAATTCAACAAAAAAGGTAGAAAAGTACACTTACTCTGAGGTGTGCATGTAGAAGGCTCCTGGATGATGATGATGATGATGGGAATTAGAATGGAGGTGGAGGAGAAGGAAGAAAAGAAGGCATTGGGGTGGAAGAGAAGTCACCCCATGGCACCATTTCACCCATAAAATTTTAGTTCTCTTGGTGTAATTCAAGATTATTTTCTTTAAATCAACACTGCACTGCATTATATATTGTCAATATGTAAAATATATTTCAAAATGACCAATAATTTGCTTGGAAACACAGAAAAAAAGCGTTTAGTTGAAGAGAGTCTCAAGCAAGATGTTACCTCCACTGAAAACAGAGAGAGACTAATGCCTGTCTGGTGTGTTAACAGGCTGGATGGCACGCCAGAAACTAGTTTCTTTACCTTCAATTATGTTCAATAATTGTTAAAATGACTAAAAAAGTTAATATTAAACTTTTAAAATTATTGAATAGTATAAACTTCTTGATATTTACTAAAATAGTAAGGAATTTAAGCCCTAAAGCCGATTACTGTATTGGCGGACTAATACTACAGCTGGTGGACCGCCAAATGCAAGCGAAAACATGTTGAAGTCGGCTCGTAAAAAACTCGTTAATCGAGGGATTGCTCGTTAACCGAAGTTAAGAATCTTATGGAAGGTAAATCGTTAACCGAAATCTCGTTAACCGAGGCGCTCGTTAATGGAGGGACCACTGTATAGTATTCTTCTAGCTGACTGGCTGAAGAAAGTGCTTGTGAATCCTTACAAGGGTAAAGGTAATGCACTTGAACACAAGAACAACTTGCACCTGAAGCTATGGAAAGAGTGATTGAGAAATTGATAAGGGAGATAGTGGATATTAATGAAGTGTATTACAGGATGATGCCTGGTAGGGGAACTACAGAAGCAATATTTATGGCCAGAAGCTACAAGAGAAATATCAAGGGAAGGAGAGAAATCTGTACCTTGTATCTGTAGATTTAAAGAAGGTGTTGAGCCATGAGAAAGTTAGGGTTGATGAGTGTCTTGTTTGAGTACTGTACTTATGGTGAGGGCTCAAAAACTACTGTGAGGAATGTGATGGTTAAAGTCGGGGTTCATCAGGGGTGTGTCTTGAGCCCCCTTCTGTTTATCATGGTGCTGGAGGCAATATGATGGGACTGGTCAGTTGTTGTAGTGCTGATAGTATTGTAGAGGCAGTGGAGAAATTTAAGAAACAGAAGGATGGAATAGACTCAAAGGTCTTGAGAGTGAATGTGGTGAAAAGAACAGTACTGATTAGTGAGGGACCTGTGGTGGAGAGTGGCAACGTGTGGAAGGTGTTGGCAGCATCTGTATAATGTGTGGAAGGTGGGTACAGTGAGTGTGGTAGGTGGGTGCAGTGAGTGTGGTAGGTGGGTACACAAGAGGTGTAGTGGAGTAAGTGGCAGACTGCAGGATGTTGCTGACTTATAAGTCTTCTGCACGTGCAAGTAATTATGTCACCTTAGTAAGACTGGAGGTAGTGTTGGAGTTTGCCCAAGTGCTATAGCCACTAGTGGTGGGAGGAAGTTTAGGGAGTCGCTTTTATTGACAGCCAGAGGATCTTTTTTTGTGTGAAAGGAAAGATGTTTGCAACCAGTGTGAGACATGTGATGTTGTCTACAAGTGTAACATGGGTAGTTAAAGAGGATGACATACACAGGCTTGAGTTAATTATGTGAGAATGGTGAGATGGATGTGTAATGTATACTGAAAGACAGGAAACTGTTCAGAACTAACAGGGCAGCTGGGTATTGAGAGTACTGGTGAAGATTTGGGCATGTGGAGAGAATGGATGACATCAGTTGGGTTAAGTGATGCATGACTCTAAATGTGGAGGGGAGGAGAGCCAGTGATAGGCAAGAGTTAAGAATGTGATGAAAGATTCCTTGTAGCACGCAGAGCTGTCTTCTGGTAATGTGAGTGGATCACTCATGTCAGTGTGGAAAATGGCTGTAAAACGATGATGAAACATTTCTTTTGAATAAATGTATTAATTTTACACAGATTTAGTTGCACATTGGTGCCCAGGAACATTAACTTGTGTGTACAGTACTGTAGTTATGATGGGAGTACAGTATAGTCTCGGTTTACGCGGTCAATTAAACCCGTGGAGGTCCGCTTAAAATGAGAAACGCGTAAACGAAATAACAGAACATATGTGATTAATTGAAATAGAGACTGGGCCGATCCCCAGACTAACCTTTTTCCGACACAATACCTACGTTGTAGTAAAAATAACATCTTAATTTTATTCATGGTATGCACACACAATTAATATACAGGCATCCCCTGCGTTACGGAAGCCCGGGTTACGGAATTTGTAAATTATGACCAATAATTTCGCGTTACGGCCCGTAAGTCCGCCCTTACGGAAATTGGGGTAAATTTTAACAAACACAAGGCCTCACACATGCCATTCAGACTGACAGACTTGACAAGTTTTACCAACCATAAAGACAGTTGAAGCTTTAAACATCACTCGCAATGGATCTTGAATATTCCAACTGTAATCAAACATACAGTCGTCCCTTAACATACGCGGGTTTATAATACACGGATTTGCAAATACTGTACCCGGATTGCCCCGCCGGAGGAATATTCTGTACATTGAAGTAATTGAAGTACATTCAAATCGCGCGCCATTCAACTCGCGCGTGGCACCAAACACGGGACACTGCCCACTCCCGCAACCTCACACACACACACCCATAGCTCTCCCTCACTCAGTCAGTCTCGCTGTAACCACGCTTGTGTTGACACCAGCATTGTAGTTGCAAAAATATTACATTTCCGTGAATGTATTATATCAAACACAGTATGAATAGAATATCACTAATATAAGAGTATTTTAACCGAAAACTACTAAAAAAACGAGTAACTTCTCTTGAACATTGGAAGGTTAGGTAAAATCTTTTGTTTTTGTCATGTATTTTATCCTATTTTACATTGAAATACATCACGTTTCAGCAAAACTACTATTTGTTTCTGAGAATATATTCATTCAGGCACAGGTAAAATATACGTGTGCTGTAACATTTTTTTAATTGAAAACGATTCGAAAAACACGTACCCTCTAGCCCTGTTCAAGGAGAAGACTGGGAGGAGCTGTTTGGTGTTGAAGACGATGACAAGGAAAATGATTTTGATGGATTTTAATGAAAATATTCAGAAATATGGTATCGTAGTATTTATTCAAGTGAATTAGGATAGAATATTATTGTAATACAACAGTAGTGACGATGTGGAGGCGGCGGAGGGATAGAGCGGGGAGGAGGCGGAGGGATAGAGCGGGGAGGAGGCGGAGGGATAGAGCGGGGAGGAGGCGGAGGGATAGAACGGGGAGGAGGTGACTGACGGGAGCAGGGACGAGTGGAGATGCCAGCCAGTACATTACGGGTGTACAGTATTAATTGTTTTTATAGCTCTTTTTGCATTTTAATATTAAATACTGCACATTACGTTTCAACAAAACTACCATTTATTTCTGAGAACATGGAAATGTAATATTTTTGCTCAAATGATGTACATAATACAGTGGAAAGTGGGATAAAATTGTGACGAAAGCAATGACTTTCTCTTTCTTTCGTTCAAAAGATGTTACCGTAATCGCTTTTCGAATGGTTTTCAGTTGTGGGATTATAAGGCTAATGATAGGATAGAATATTATTGTAATACAGTACGAGTACAACAGTTTTTTAACTGAAAACCATTCGAAAAGAGATTACGGTAAAATCTTTTGAACGAAAGAAAGAGAAAGTCATTGTTTTCGTCATGATTTTATCCCACTTTCCACTGTAATATGTACGTCATTCCAGCAAAAATATTACATTTCCATATTTATTTCCGAGAATATATTCATTCAGTCACAGTTTAGGTAAAATATACTTGTGATGTAATATTTTAATGAAAATACGGTATCGTAGTTTTCTTTTGTTTCAAATTTAATTAACAAAGATTGATGTTTCAAATGTAATGAACGAAAATTTATGTAGAGTATCTATAAATAAACTTTAATAAATGAATACTTTATGTTTTACATCGTCCTGTGCTACCATACCGTGGATTTGGCTAATTTGGGCTTGCTATGATGACGCAAGAGATCTGCCCTGGTAGCTGTACCGACACTCACAGCTGGTGGTGCGTTGGTGCATCGTTTCCATTGTTTACTGGTAGTTACTGGTAAATATGTTTCAACCTAACGAAACTATTACCCTTTTAGAGGTCGACCCCCAATTTTTTGCCAAATAATTTGGTCTTAAAAACTCTAACTACACACAGGTATATACGGTAAATAAGTACATGGGGGCCAGGGTTTTCTTTGGGGGGGGGGGCAGCACATATACGCGGATTTTTAACATCCACAGCTATCTCTGTTACGTAACCCCCGCGTATGTTAAGGCCGACTGTACCAAAGTTGCCTCAACAATTGCAATCCTAGTTGCAATATCAAATTCTGTGTCACTACTAAAAAATAATAGCCTCTGGTGCACTCCTAAGATTAAGAGAAAACGGACAACTCAGGAGTGCTGAAGTGAGAGAAAACGGACTCCTATGACGGGGCACTCAAATAAACATACACATAGCTGTATAATGCAATATTATGCAATATTAACCCCTAAGTTGGTGTTTTAAGAAGGTATATCATAAATTATTTGATGTACTATATTGTATGTGTTTATAAATGATTATTTTCATTAATAAAAGTGCATCTCCTGTTTCATACTGGAAGTCAATGGGAAAATTGGTTTCGCGTTTCGGAATTTCGCGATACGGTCAATTTTCCGGGAACGGAACCCTTCCGTAACGCGGGGGATGCCTGTATAAGAGAAATATCAATACTATTAGGTTTTTTAACACTTAGTTAGTAGAAAAGATGGCTGGGCACACGGGGATGGGGGGTTGGTTCCGAGTCAGAGGGCAGATTATTGGCCCTCACCTGTATCACTTGTATCAATTGTATCACTATCCACCACAGAGGCTTGCAGGGCCTCTTTGTCAAACCCCTCAAAGTCCATATCCTCACTATCACTGACTTGGGCCGGCTGTGGTGGGTGGCGGGTGAAGAAGTCGGTAATGTTTTGTTGACTGGGTGACCTAGCGTGCACCCTGCTCGCGCTGCTACCCGTGTAAATGATGGAATGTACCGCGTAACTAATAATTGCCGGTCTGGCCAGGTGCTGCGTAAATGACCAACCGCGTAAAGGAAATCCGCGTAAATCGAGACTATACTGTATTGATGTGATGATCCAGTTAATGTTGTACTGTACTGTGTCCGGCAATTTACTGTAGTAGGCAGAACAGGGAGGAAGATATTGGAAGCATAATGTGTTTGTCTAATGGTAGACCCTGCTGCCATATGTGACCAAGTCCCAGGTTGATGATCTGATTTTCTGCCTCATTTACACAATTGCAGGGTCTCAATTGTTTCTCTTACTATGACAACACAACATACATATATTGTTTCTCACTGTTGATCTTTTTTTATTTTATTTTTGCATTTGTGGTTCTTTATTATTATTATTATTATTATTATTATTATTATTATTATTATTATTATTATTATTATTATTATTATTATTATTATTATTATTGTTATTATTATTACTGTACAGGTTGTATCTCTCTAGTCCGGCATTCTGTGGTCCGGAACTCCAGTGGTCCGGAACGATTTTAGTTTGTCCAATAGGTATATAGGCAACTTCTTTTTTTTTTTTTTTTTTTTTTCCTTTCTGAATTATTATTATTATTACAGGAGTATTAAATTTTTGCCCCTTAGGCCCCAATGTGGGTCAGTGACCTATGCCCGGATGGGCTAATCCCCATAAAAACAACAACAACAAAGCCGCAGGAAATTAAGGTTTGTTTACATCCGGCAGTTCGGCTGCTCTCTCTCTCTGCTTGTCTATACAGAGTACACCATTTAACCCTTCAATATATATGAGCAGTAAATAAGTGTTGCTTTCATACTCTTATGTAGAGTAATGACGATATGTTTTCACATGTGCGCACTTACATACGCGCAGTCTCACTTTTTTTTTACCATTAATGGTTAGCTACTTATATTGTTCCATTTATTAACATTAAATAATGTTACAGGTACTTCAAACAACCATATTAATTTTTTTTTACATTAATTTTACTACAGCAAAAATCAGGGTCTTATTTTCTTCAGTTTTATATGTAGAACCAGTCAGTCACTGATTTTGTAAGCTTTAACATAAACAATGCCGGCAGCCGTCTCGTCTCATCGTGTGTTTTCACATTCCACGTATTATTAATAGATTGTATTGCTAATTTTGCACACGCAAACATTAATTCAATAAAAACAAATTCAGAAACATTAATTAAAATATATATGAACAGTAAATAAGTGTTGCTTTCATATTCTTATGTAGAGTAATGACGATATGTTTTCACGTGTGCGCACTTACATATGCGATCTCTCTTTTTTCTTTACCATTATCGTTAGCTACTTCTATTGTTCCATTTATTAACATTAAATAACATTACTTAAAACAACCATATTAATTTTACTACAGCTACAACCAAGGTCTTATTTTCTTCAGTTTTATATGTAGAACCAGTCAGTCACTGGTTTTGTAATCAACGAAAACAATGCTGTGTCATTTCCTCGTGTGTTTTAATATTCTACGTATTATTAATGAATTGTATTGCTCATTTTGCACACATAAACATCAATTCAGTAAAAAAGACATTCAGTAATAAACAATAATGAATCTTTTGTACATAAGAGAAATGACGCTGTTTACACGATTATGCACGTCGTGTGCACGTTGGCGGGCCGTTCAAACCCATCGAAATTCAAGTTTCCGCCGTCAAAATTTTTATTTATTTTTTTTGTGTGTTTTCCAATAAAATACGTTGAATTAAAAACTCGCGAAATTTGAGAAGCTACTATATGACATTTAACCCTTCAATATGTTTTCAAAGAGACCATGATGCAGAGAAAGTGGTGCTAGTGCTTCCAAGCATAAGCACAAGTCACTATCTATCCAGGAAAAGGGTGAATTTCCATGGTCCGGCACCGGTCAGGTCCTGAGGTTGCCGGACTAGAGAGGTACAACCTGTATTATTATTATTATTATTATTATTATTATTATTATTATTATTATTATTATTATTATAACATCATTTTCTCCCCCCAGGCCCCAATGTGGGTCAGTGACCTGTGCCTGGGTGATCTAGGTGCAGATGTTCATGTGTTGACAAGATGTACAGTAGATGACAAGTATAATTAGTGAGTTAACTGTTGGACAGGACACAGCTTGGGTGCAGGTACGGCGGTGGTGCTGGCATCACTCATGAGGCCTCAGTACCCCAATCTGAAGTGCTTTGCGTTCTCCCCCCCTGGAGGTCTCTGCTCAAAGGAATTTGCTCTGGCTACTCAAGTAAGTTATCCTACTTAACTCCTTACACACTTCAAATCAAAGACCAGGTGGTCTGTTGTTCAGGTCAGTACAGGTGGTCTGTTGTTCAGGTCAGTACAGGTGGTCTGTTGTTCAGGTCAGTACAGGTGGTCTGTTGTTCAGGTCAGTACAGGTGGTCTGTTGTTCAGGTCAGTACAGCTGGTTTGTTGTTCAGGTCAGTACAGTTGGTCTGTTGTTCAGGTCAGTACAGGTGGTCTGTTGTTCAGGTCAGTACAGGTGGTCTGTTGTTCAGGTGAGTACAGCTGGTCTGTTGTTCAGGTCAGTACAGGTGGTCTGTTGTTCAGGTCAGTACAGGTGGTCTGTTGTTCAGGTCAGTACAGCTGGTCTGTTGTTCAGGTCAGTACAGTGGTCTGTTGTTCAGGTCAGTACAGCTGGTCTGTTGTTCAGGTCAGTACAGCTGGTCTGTTGTTCAGGTCAGTACAGGTGGTCTGTTGTTCAGGTCAGTACAGCTGGTCTGTTGTTCAGGTCAGTACAGCTGGTCTGTTGTTCAGGTCAGTACAGGTGGTCTGTTGTTCAGGTCAGTACAGGTGGTCTGTTGTTCAGGTGGTCTGTTGTTCAGGTCAGTACAGTTGTCTCATGTGTGGCACTACACCACCACAGGCATGTGATATGTGTGCATCAGGTTTTGTGCAGTGTGGTAGCCCTGTGTTTGTTTACATTCTACAGAAGGAAAGTCACAAGAGTAAACATACTATGGAATTAAATTAAATACTGTAGTATTAAAACAAATATCTCGATGAAAGGACTTGTGGAATGTTTATATGATGAGCCTCTGTAAGGGCACTAGTGAAGGGAACTGTACCTAGATATTGAGCATGTATCTCTGCCTCCTCCAGTCCGGGTCCTGTTGTTACTCATGATATACATAGTACACTAAGTCTTCATGTTAACATGTGTCCCAAATTCATGTTATGGAGTGATTCTGTTACATGTCATGTTATTACAAATTGTTTTAATGTTTTTTGTTTGTATTTAGTTTATATATGAGGTGTTCAGAATCATTGGTAATACTGTACCTTCATGTTATATGTATGAGGTTTAACTTGTCACTTGTGAATCTGTTGTACATATGTGAGGTGTTTCAGCTTTAACTCTTTTTTTATTTTATTTTTTTTGTTTTTTTATTTTCACCAGAATTTTGAGGTGAGAAGAATGTAAAGAATTTTGTGTGTAGGAAGGATAACTATGTACTGTAGATAATAACCAAATATTAGTTAAATGAAAGTGAAGACAAACTCTTATCAAGAGAATTATGCCTTCAACATTATTTCCTAGGAATGATAATATAGTATCTGACCAAAGGATGACCTTGGCTCCATACAGCATTTATCTCCATTGTGGAAACTTTTATATAATTCCAGAACTTCGTAATGTCTGTAGTGGTCGGAGATGATCTGGTGCCTCGTCTCTCGATGAATTCCCTCCATGATCTCCGTCACAAGATAATGTGTGTCTTAGATACCTGTCGTCAACCTAAGGTGAGGTGGCTCACATTATGTCTTGTCTTTAAGTTGATCTCATCTGCCATGTCCTACCACTGCATACTAAAGCCAAAACAATTTTTTTCAATGGGATTTTATTATCTATTAAAAGGGGTTATAAATCATATAATGTACAGTACAGTACAGTTGAGTTCAGTACAGTACTGTACAGTACAGAACTGAACTGAACTGAACTACTGTACTGTACAGTACCATACTGTACTGTACTGTACAGTAGGGGGCAGTGAAATTTTGCTCAAAGCTGCACTCTTCAGGCATTGTTC